TGCATATTATTATAGTTTATATCAAGATGTTTTTAAAACACGCATTACGAACCCTTTCACAATAAGAATTGAGATATTTCTCATTTTATTATGACAAAGGATTCATAACAAAAACAACTCTTGCCAATTGTTTTATTTTTTCAAAAAAAAAAAATAATTTTGTCATTCTTAAATTTTCAATAGAACCACCTAAACTTCCTAACAATGAATCAAGGCATGTTGTTTATATGTTGTTTTGAGAATTGATGCAACCACACCGTAAGTTCCACCTGTGATAATCAGAATACGCTATTATCTCAATTTCCTCAATTTTTGATAGGGGTTGTTTTTGTTACGAACCCTTTAATTGTTTATGTGAAGTAGGGAATATTTCATAAAGTATTCACCTTTTCTTGATCTTACCTCAATAATTTTTTATGTAGAATGATGAAAAGAATTGATCGATCATATTAACTTTACATTTGCAATTTTGTACAATACAGCATATAAAATGCAAAATAACTGCAAAATGTTATAAAATTTTTCAATAATTTTTTTGTTTTAAATATTAATTAATTTTTCTCACTATTCTACACCTAAAAATAGTAAGATAACATTATCAAAAAGTGAATGTTTACGAGATATTCCATATTTTACATAAACAATTGTTATAATAAAATAAGAAATATCTCAGAAAGTAAAAGAGTTTAATAATAAGCGTTTTAAAAATGTGATATCAGTTATAAGAATATGCAATAAAAAATAGTTCCAATTAAATATTGTAATGTTAAACCGGACGAGGCTTTTCAAGGTCATCCCGAGATCAAATAAATATTCTTTTTTTCCATTTTTTCCATCTTTTTTTTTCCTTGCAATCCTACAATTTTTATCCAAAACACTTTCATATCTTTCCTAAGAGGAGATTACGATTTAGAGAATCGAAAACAAGGCATTTTTTCGGGAATTATTTTGAAAAAATGAAGAGATTAATCTGAGGTTTAAATATCGTATTTAATCATGTTTATTAAATTTTAAACAATTTTTTAATTTAAAAAATGACTAGATTAATTTAATGTTAAACTATTTTTTTCAATTTTTGTTTTAAATTCTGTTTAACTGCAATTTGTTTTGCCGTTTTGATGTGTCTCGCCAGACGACTTAATATTAAACTGTGTAAAGTCGTCAATTTTAATTTTTTCTTAAATACAAATTATTTAAAACTCTTAAAACATTACTAAATACGATGCTTAAAACCTTATATTAAAATCTCATTTAAAAAATTGCCAATTAAAGCTTTGTTTTAGATCGGAACTTTCTCTTAATTTCTGAGATATTTGACTGGGGCATTTAAAATGATACACCTTAGGTTTGTTCGCGTCGCATGCCCCAACATGTTCCGATACGCTCCAATCTATAGTATACGTCAGGGCTCGGAATTATTTCATCTTTTCGGCCAATTCTCGTGGTATACACCTCCTTTCTTCTCCTTGTTACGTCTAACGCTCGGCGGCGCTGGCCCTAGCGGCTGCCGCGCACGCGGTAAGGAGAAAAAAGGAGGCGTATACCATGAGAATCGGCAGAAAAGATGAAATAATTCCGAGCCCTGGTATGCGTAATGTAATATTATAGATTGGAGCATATTGGAGCATGCGATGCGAACAAACCTCTTGTGTTTATATTACATATATATGTATTGCATATTTGTAAAATAAAAAATTTTATTGAATGCTTGAATATCGTAGATTATTCGCTGGTTTTGCACCAAGAGTAATATGGATTACATTAGGAGGTTTTATGTTCTTCGGAGTTTATGAAGAAGCAAGAGTACTTACGCAGACAATATTTCCAATGCTAAAGTAAAAATACAGCTATACAATTCTATGCGATATTATATGAAAGGATAATGTGTTTTTGTAATTATAAATTGTACTTATATTATTATTTGAAATAGTATGAAACAATTATTCGAAATGTACAAAACGTTTATTTCTTCCATTGTATACAATTTTTTCTTATAATAGCTATAAATGCGTAATACATAAAAATACAATTTTACATTATTTCTTTACTTATATTATTATTTTGTTTTGTAAAAAATAAAAAAAATATTCTTTACATATTATTAAAAATTTGTATGAAATAGAAGTTTTATTTTATAACTAGCGAAGATAATCATTATCAATTAAACTGAAAACATTGATACTAACAATAAGTATGAAGTTGTAGTAATCTATATTCATTCTCATTTCCTCAAATAATAAATTTATTCGTTAACTTAGAGACGATATTTTCTTAACAAAAATATTGAGATTAATAGTTTTTAAATTAAAAGTGATAATATTAGTATTTTAAACAAATTTTAATGATATAAATAAAGAATAATCTCTTTTATTGCTAGTAAATTTGGCTGTAACAAGGCTTTTAACACTTCATTTAACACTTGATCATAATTAATTTCAATTGCAATTTTTGTTAAATAAATATTGGTTCCATACTATGTTACCTAATTTCAAATACAATGTTGCATCTTGTGTTATAATTTTCTTATCTTCGTAAAAGATAAAAATTGCACATATTAACATGAATATAAAATATTTCTTTTATAGATTATTTTGTATGTTGTGTATATTACATTACACTTTCGCGGTCGCTCATGTATTTTGACATTTATATTTTGGTATAAGTCAGGAGCCGGTCACGTAATTTTACGTTTATTATTTTTCGCATCATTGTATTAGGTCGTGTAATATGAAATGTCGGACTTTACATCAGTTCAATATAATAGAGCGGCTCGAAGCGTTGAGCGGAGCCGAATATATAACAATCGCGAAAATGTGTGTGTGTGTTTTAACCATATATAATATATTACATATAACCGTATGAGCACTTCAGAGGTAAACTGTATTAAGTCACATAAACAATTTTTCAGGAGAAGGATCTAAAGAGATTTTTCGCTTTTGACAGGCTCTCAGTAAAATACTTTGTAATGTTTTGCAGATTTTTTTGTATTCATAGAGAATATCAAATTTCAATATGTTTCAGAAAGGAAGTTGTATGATTACGGAATACGTTTTTAATGTGACTTAATACTGTTTACCTGATGAATGTGACTTAACTTTATATAGTTAACATCTCTATTGAAATGTGAAAATATTCATTGAAAACATTTCTCATTGGGTAAAAATTGGAGTATAGTTTTGTAATAACAATAACTCAATTTTCGAAAAAATGTAACTTAACACAGTTTACCTCTAAGGTGCTCGTATGTATATCATGGAATATGTATATGTATATTATGGAATAATATTACAACATATATTTTAAAGGTAATAAAATTAATAAGAGACAAAGTGCGGAATATTACACACATATTAATAGATAGATTTTTAATAAACAAATAAAATTTTTAATAATTTTAACCAAAGAGATTCTTATTATATTTTTTAAAATGGAAAAACACATATCTCTTTATACACACAATTAGACATACAAAAATACATAACTACAAAAAATCATGGAAACAGAAATTGTGTAAATGCAATTGTGCATATTAATAAATAAAGAAAAGAACTGTTTGCATAAAAAGAAAAAATGCTTTAAGCAAATAAAAAAGTACACATGCAGTTGTTCTTAGGTAACATTTTTTAATACAAAAAAATAAAACACTTCATTACTAAAATGATTTCTATGAGGAAACAATTGAATTTACATAATTAGATATATTTTTAATGTAAAAATATAATTTTTAAATATTTTGATCAAAGAGATTTTTATTACATTCTTTTAAGTAGAAAAATATATCTCTTTACCCACAATTTGATATACATTAATACAAGTAACTACAACATCTGGAAACAGAAATTGGGTAAACGCAATTGTGAAATAGCAGTACCTTTGATTTATCGAAATTGATTAATTGTAAAGTTTTCTCTTGTAGACTTGGTTTGATATATATTTCCGTTTTACAGTTTGGATTTTAAACTGCTCATTAATTTTTCCAGTTTCATTGCTTTCTGCAGATTTCCATTAATGTTTAGTTTTCCCGTCATAAACGCAGCAGTAGGTTTCAGTTTACCTGTATATCGATAAAATTAAAAAATATAAGAGATGTTTATTTTAAATGCCCCAGATAAATATCTTGGAAATTAAGAAAGATACGAAAAATTTTGGACAAAAGTTGTAAAATTATGAATGAAAAAAAAGATGATAATATTTATGAGATCTTAAAATGACCTTGAAGTTTCTCAAGTCATAAAAACATGAAATGGGAACTCTTATTTTTTATTGCATATTCTTGTAACCGATGTCAAAATATTTTTGAAACATTCGTTACAAACTCTTTTGCGATGAGAACTTTTTAAAAAATATTTCTCATATTTTATTATGATAATTGTTACATAAAATATAGAATATATCATAAAACATTTACTTTTTGATAATGTTACTTTACTATTTTTAAATAAAGAATAATGTGAAAAATTAATTAATATTAATAATTAATTAATATTAAAAAACAAATTATTAAACAATTTTAAATATTTTGTAGATATGTTGTATTTTATATGTAGCATTTACTGCAAAATTGCAAATTTAAAAATTAGTATTACCAATCGATTCTTTTCATCATTCTACCGTAAGAATATTAAGATAAGATTAAAGAAATGTTATTAATTATTTTATAATATATTTTATATTTTGCACAAACAATTATTAATTGTTATAATAAAATGGAAAATATTTCAGGAAGTTCTGATTGCAAAAGGATTTGTAATGAGTGTTTTGAATTGTAATGAGTGTTTTGAAACATCAATTACAAGAATATGTAATAAAAAATAGGAGTTTCTATGTAAGATTTTTATGTTGACGGGGTTTTTTAGATAAAGTTATTTTAGCGTCAAATGTAACAATCTTTTTTTTCCCCTTAAAATCTTCTAATTTTTATCCAAAAAATTTTTTTTATATTTTCTTTAATTTCGAAGTATTTGCCTGCGACATTTGAAATGGAACACCCTGTATGTTAATATTAATAGTAGCGGATCTATATTTTCAGAAAGCCTAAAACTAATATTTGTAAAAAAATAGAAAAAAAAGAGTTTATAAAATATTTATAAAATTAACATTTTAATTTACACAATATAATTACAAATATGGGACAATTCAAGAAATGATATTTAGCAACACGTATTTGTATCTAATGGCCGCGCGCGCGCGCG